GACAAAAAAAAAAACAATCCCATACTGTTGCTGCCACTGTGCACCCATGAAAGCTGCAACTCTGAGCAGTTAAGGAACTCACCAAGGTCACACAGCTACACAGTGGTCATCAGCCATACAGCCCTAGACCCGGGGATGTGGGTGGAGCCTGGGTTCTTCATAAATACTGTACCTCAGTGTAGACGTTACAGAACTCCGTGTTGCTTGTTGTCCTTCTTCAGGACAGCAGCTAAAGGTTCCCCGTCAGGGTTTTCTTCCAGGGAGCCCTAGGTATGGAGGACCCTGTGCTGAGGCCGCAGGTCAGCGAGCTTCCCCAGCCGCAGGGGACAGCTGAACATCTTTTTCCAAAGCCCGAAGAGGTCCTGGTTCCCCACCCCCAACTCAGCTCCACCTGGACGCCCACGTGCCCTCATTTCTCTGTGGTCATCGCCCTCAGTTCACCATGCATTCATTCGTTCACCATTCACTGGGCAGATATGTATCCACTGCCCCCAGGAGCACCGGAGTGGGGTCAGAAGAGAGTGCTCAGTGAGCTTCCAGTCCCTGCGCTCAGAGCCTGTAACCCGGAGGTGGAGGAGAACAGTGTTTGTAAACATGTAAACAAGTTAATTATAGATTTGAATAAGAAAGCAGGCAGGGATAGTGTGCCCTGGCAGAGGTGGTCAGGGGAGGCCTCCCGGAGGCTGTGACATTCCAGCTGAGCCAGGGCTGGCAGGAAGGCCCAGTGGAGGGGGAAGAGGTTTCCAGGAGAGGGGACCTGCCAGTGGGAAGGTGAGACTGGTGGTGGGGGCCCTGGATGTGTGAGGAGCAGGGGGAAGCAGCACTGTGGGGACCTTCCCCAAGCAGAGGGCAGTGTGGCGACATTAGGTTAGAGGGGACAGGGCACATGGCGGGGCTGGGAGGCCATGATGCGAGGTCTGACATAATGCTAAAACAAATGAGCCCCCTTAGGGCATCTGAAACTTTCAATCTGTGCAAGCTTTGCAGGTTGCTTTGGCTGCTGTGTGACAAATGGATTTTAGGGGACAGGAGTTTTACAGAGCCAGCTTCAGGGCTATGGTGGTTGTGCAGGTGAGAGCCCAGGGGCAGGACCATGGGTGGATGCAGGGAGGCCTAGGTCAGGGCTCCCAGGCCTCCCTCCCTCAGCCCTTCCCTCCTGCTGAAGCCCTGAACCTGAGCTTCCTTACCCCTTGGCTCAGGTTTCTTTTTCTTCTTCTTTTTTTTTTTTTTTTTTTTTTTTTTTGGCTTTTTGTTTGTTTGTTTGTTTTTATCGGTACCAGAGATTGAACTCACAACTGCCTGCTTGCAAGGCAGGTGCTTATGCCACTAAGCTAAATCCCCAGCCCCCCAAAGACTTTCTCAGAAGCTCAGTATCCTCTTTTTCCTGGGAGGAACAAGTACATCCCCAGACGGAAAGAAAATGTGAGAAGGAGCTTCAGCTCTAGACTCCCAGGGTTGCCCAATGCAGTTGCCCAGACTGTGCACTGTACAAATCCAGGTAGCAATGTGAATGCTGCCCTCTCTGAGTCAGGAAATCAGTATCCTCTGGGGCTCAGTGTGATCGGCCCCTGGACTGGAGGAGGGAATTCTACTTTGACTCTGATGAGTTTTTTCTGAGTGAAGGCATGGGTATTGGGGCACGGGAATTGGCTGGCAGATCCCTGTGGATCACTGGAAGCCAAGATGGAAAGAGCAGAGATGAAGGTGGGCAGGACTTCCTAGAGCCAGGCTCCTACTCAGAGACACCCCTGAAAGCAGAGCAGTTATCCAGCTAGCCCCCTCCCCAAGGCTCATTCCTGGGGGAGCCTTGTAAAGTGGGGTTCCCAGAGTCACCAAAGAAATGCACAGCAAATACACAGTAGACGGTGGCCCTCAGCCTGGATGGGCCCTTTCCCTCCGGCTCCCTCCGTGGGCTCCCACACTCTAGTGTGCTGAGCCCCTCCACACTGCCTGTGCAAACCAGGCACTTCCGACTCCTGTGTGACCTGCCCAGACTGCGCTGTCCCCACCCCCTTCCTGTGGCCAATGCCTCTTCCCCAGCCCTTGCTGTGTTTCGTGGACCTAACTGCACTGTAGTGTGACCCACCGGACCTTTCCTAAGCCTCGTGGGAGGGCGCTGGCAACTGAAGCTGGTTGCACAGGCAGCCACAGGGATGCAGGGTGAGGGCCTTCACTGTATGACCAGCCCCTCTTCAGGAGGGCTCAGAGGGACCGATGACAACAGGAGTCTGAGCCTCAGCTTGGTTTTTTTGGTTGCTTATGCTAATATTTCATTCCTCCTCCTCCTCTTCCTCATCTTCCTCTTCCTCCTCGTCCTCCTCTTTTTCTTTCTCTTCTCTTCCTCCTCCTCCTCCTCCTCCTTCTTCTCCTCCTTCTTCTCCTTCTTTTTGAGACAAGGTCTCACTATGTAGTTCAGCCTGGATTTGAACTTGCTGTGTAGCCCAGGCTGGCTCTGCATTCACGGCAGTCCTCCTGCATCAGCCTCCTGAGTGCTAGAATTAAAGACATGTGCCAACATGCCTGGCCCTCTATTATTTTTTATTGTGGTAAAATATACATAACAAAAGTTGCTATTCTAATCTTTCAGCATGAGAAAAACGAGATAGTTTGTCATTTCAAATACATTAAAATTTATCCAAGTATATAGAATAAACTAGTTACCACTGCACATTCTGGGTTTCTTAGTTACTCTTTTTCCCCTTTTGTGGTGCTGGGGGCTGAACCTAGGGCCTTGTGCGTGATAGTCAAGGGCTTTGTCACTGAGCTACAACCTTAGCTGAGTTTCCTGGCTATAACTGGAGGTGTTGTTTGCTTTTAGTTTATTTTGTTTGGTTTGATATTAGTAGAGACTGAACACTGAGCTACATCCCCAGCCTTTTAAATAAATGTTTAGTAGTCTTACTGAGCTGCCCAGGCTTGGTTTGAATATGCCATCTTCCAGGCTCCCACTGTGCTGGGATTCTAGGCGTGTACCACCATGCCCAGCTTCCCGGGTACTCTTAGTTGCTGAACTTACTATATGGATTTTTCAAATTGTATGTAACAGAGCAGGAGATTGAGTTCAGTGGCAGAGCGTTTGCCTTGGAAGTGGAAGGTCCTCAGCTGGTCATAGTAGCACATGCCTGTAATCCCAACACTTGTGAGGCTGAGGCAGGAGGATCGCCTCAAATTTGAGGTCAGCCTGGAATATGTGGTGAGTTCGGACCAGTCTGAACTACATAGTGAGACGTTATCTCAGAAAAACAACAACAAAAGTGTTGGACCCTGGGTTCAATCCCCAGTACAGAAAAAAATGTCTATCAATTTATATATAAAATATAAAAGGTACCCATTTTGCCACTTTTAAGCCTATAGTTAAATGGCATCGATCATATTCACGATGTTGTGCAACCATAGTGATCATCTGTTTCCAGAAATCTTTCATCTTCTCAAACTGAAACTCTTTTGCTGCTGCTGTTGCTGTTGTGAGACAGGGTCTTGCTATGTAGTTCAGGCTGGCCTTGAACTCACTATGCAGCCCAGGCAACTCATGGCGATCTTCCCCCCTTGGCCTCCCGAGTTCCGGGATTACGGGTGTGTATCACCACGCCTGGGCTCCGTATTTCTTAAGGAGCTCCCCCTCGGCCCTCCTATCAGCAGCCACCATCCTCCTCTGTGCTTCTCCGGATCTGACAACTCTACATTCTCCCTGTGAATGGAATCACACAATGTCTGTCCTTTGATGTCTGGCTTATGTCACTTAATGTACTCATTGTTCATCTGTGTGTCTCGGGAGTCAGGATTACATTCTTTTCATGGCCGACTAGCATTCCATATTTTGTTTATCCATTCTTCTGCCTCTGGCCACTTGGCAGCTCTTTGTGAACAGGAGGACAGGATGCCTATTCTGAGCCGCTAGCACAGAGTGACTGCTTTTGGTTGTCAAATGTTAAGAAGAAAAAGCACATGTATTATTACAAATGTAAACGTATCCTTCACAGAAGATTTTAAAGATGTGCATAAGGAAAAGAAGAAAATCAAAGTCCCTTTTACTTCGGCCTAAGGGAGATAATTGCTATTAAAATGGGATTATGGGCTGAATGTGATCCCTCCCCATTCTCAGGTTGCAATGCCAAACTCCAGTGTGATTGTACTTATACACAAGACTTTTGTGACTGTATTAATGCTACATGAGGTCATACAGTCAGAGCCCTGAGCCAAGAGGAGTAGTGTACTTATAAGAAGAGACGCCAAGAGTTTACCTGCTGTCTCCTGTGCCTTAGGTGGGGACAGCAAGAAACCCGCCACCTACAGGCCAGGTAGAGACGTGCAGCTGGCTTTCATCTTGAACTTTGAGGATTTTACCCCTGAAGTCACAATCTGTGGCATTTTGTTGGAGCAGCCTGAGCTGAGACACGTGCTTGGCCTTCCAGGGTTCTGTGCACAGATGTGTTTATGTCCGTGTAACATGGAACCTTTCTTAGGCAGCATATCATAGTCCAGAGAGGAGTGTTGGAATCCGACAGCCCTAGGTTCGAGTCTCAGTGCACCATTCTAGGAGCATCTTGGGGTGGAGCTCGCCTGCTTTGTCTCTTACTTTATAAATGGGATGACAAGAGAGGACATCTATCTCCTGGGACTGCCATAAGGTTTGGTTAGAAAGGGGCTGGAGATTTAGCTCAGTGGCATAAGCGCCTGCCTTGCAAGCAGGCAGTCGTGAGTTTGGTACCAGGGATACCCCGACTACCTGCTTGCAAGGCAGTCACTTATGCCGCTGAGCTAAATCTCCAGCTCCCCCCACCCAGTGCACCTTTAAATGCATGAGTCTCTAAGACACACCGAGACTGTGTGAATGAGAGTAGTGTGGTCTTGTGTTGCTACCATGAGGAGTATGTGCAATGACACCGTATCAGTGCTCAGAACAGCTGCTGCCTCCAAGGGTTAAAGGCACGCATTCAGGAAAACATCTAGAAGCATGCTAGCTTCGTATCAAAATGCCTTTTACTGATTGTCATCCACAGATCGAACAGCAGCAGCAAGTCAAAAGCGGAGACCCCTAAAACACCCAGCAGCCCCCTGACTCCCACCTTTGCCCCCTCGGTCTGCCTCCTGGCTCCCTGCTATCTCACAGGGGACTCTGTCCGGGACAAGTGTGTGGAGATGCTGGCAGCAGCTCTGAAGGCAGAAGGTGAGAGGTCCTGGGCCAGGGATGGAGCAGGGAAAGGGTTCCTGAGGACTGATGAGATGCCCTTTGCCCGGTACCCACTCCTGGGATCAGCACAGGATTTCTGTCCCCAGTGCAAGCTGACAGTCCTAGCAAAGTCACGTCTGGCTGATGTTTGAATCTGCTGATCTCTTTTAGATGATTACAAGGACTATGGAGTCAACTGTGACAAGATGGCATCAGAAATTGAAGATCATATCCTCAGGCTGGGGGGGTATGGGTGCCTGGACGCTGCAGTGGGGGAAGAGGGGAAGAGTCCAGCTGCCTGTAGTGTTAGGTGTTGCCCCTGTGGGCCTCCTGCCAAGCTGTTAAGATGTCCCTTGATCAGGGTTGAGAATAACCCCTCCAGGTGGGTCCCCACCTGGTCTGATTATAGATGAAGCAACTGAGGCTCAGGAAGGTGAAGACCCTGCCAAAGCTCAGGTAGCTAATAATAATTGCACTGTTGGGATTTGAACCCAGAAAGCCTGGCTTCCAAACCTGAGAGCTCAGTCACTGTGCCACAGTGCCTCAGTGGGTCAAGTCATTGCCTCGTAGGTCCCAGTAGATGGAGGCCACAGCATGTCCCATGCTTAGCCTTCCCCCTCCCTTCATTTGATGATCACAGCCCCCACTTTTGACTTCTGGCCAGGTCCCAGACACTGTGCCCAGCCTTTAACATTTCCTACCTCTGTTAATATTTCCAACGATCTCTCCAAGGCAGTGGCTGTTGTTCCCATTTTACAGGAAAAGAAACAGACTTAGTAACCACTGAATGTCAGGGCTTGGCTGAAAGCACTGGTCTCTGAATTCCATGTACTGAATTCTGTTCTTCCGGTCTGCTCCCCACGTCCCATCTGAAAGGGGTCTTGTGTAGCCAGGGGAAGCAATGGTCACCTTGATAAAGGTCAAAGATTTTTGACTTGGAAAAGTCTCTCTCTACAGAGCATGGAATTTCTAGTACTGAAGATGAAGCTTTGCTTGTGAAAGAGGTATTGACAGGGGGAGATGGATCGCCCCAAAAGAGAGGGAGTCTGTGTGTCGCCCAGAGTGTGAATGATCCTTTGGAGGCCTCCTGGGTCTCCCGGGATGCCCTGGGGCTAATCTGTAACCATCACACTGGCTCCTCCCACCGCTGCCTAGGCCAACCCTGGTGTCCCCCAGATTTCCTCCGCCACTGTTCAGTGACTGGCCAGCAACACTGCAGCAAGTTTCCTTTCAGGGTCTCAACAGACCCCTGTCGCCATTCTGTAAGCCTGGAGACCAGGACCTCGTCTTCCTTTTCTGCAGAGCATTTCTCCCTTGAGGCAGGTCCTTTGCACCTCCAAGCCCAGTTTGAAGCAAGGTAGATGCTCAGAACCTGGTTCCTTGCCTGGCCTTTGCCCCTTGCTTACCTCCTCCCCTGGATGTCCCTCTCCCTCATCTAAAGGAGAGGAGACAGAGCTGTGGCATCTCCTTTGCTTTTGTTCATAGCCATGGGAAAATGAATGTGGGAGGCCAGATACACTGCAGTCCTTTTTGGGTCCACCCCCTGAGGTGTTAGAAATCTTGGGACTGTCCTGCCCCAGCCTCCCCTGGGGTCTTGGGAAGCAAAAGACAGAGCAGTCAGAGAGAAATTGATGAGTGTCACCAGCCCAACTGTCCCACAGCTCAACAGATCCACACTCCAAAAATCCTGAGTGGCAGAGTTTTAAGCATGCATTTTGGCTCTCAAACGCATTGTGGCATATTCTCACATTTTTATTGTACAGGAAACATTAAAAGAAGAAAGAACTCACACGCACATCGCCTTTAGCAAATCAGCTGTTTGCATTTTCCATGTTCCCCACAGCCTCTCCTTTGTGATTTTTTTCCCAGCAATGGCTTTATCTTCCTGGCTCTGCTTGGCTCAGGAGACCCCAGAAAGGCACTGTTCCCTGAGTGCCTCCCTGGTGCGGCGGTGGGAGCTCTGTCTGGCACATGGTGTTTGGACAGGAGCTCTTGGTAGCCAGGGGCACCCAGCTTCCTTCTGGTGAGTGGGAACAGCATTGCTGTTAGGGACTGGCTTTGGCCCTGCCTCTGCTAGGAATCTGCCCGGTGACCCGGAGCCAAGGCCTGAGCTTCAGCCTCCTCTTCTGGAGTCAGAACAGGCCAGCCATTCCCAAAGTGAGCTGGGAGGGATGACAATGTGTATTCTTAATGGGGAGAGAATCCATGATCAAATTCCTGATGGGGAGAAAAATGGGTAAAAACCCATGATCAAAACCATCAGGACTACCTGATCGTGAAAGCTACGCAATCTCTTTGTAGTGTTTCTTAGAGCTTTGCACGGGTGGCTCTGAATCTTTCCCTCTGACAACTGGGCTCTCAGCGACCCTTCTAGACTAGATGTCGTCTTTGTTGCTGTCATCGTCTCAACAGCCCACGAATACTGGACTTGGCTAGTGCCGGATATCACCCCCACGAGGTGACTCAGTTCACCCCATCTTTGTAACAGCCCTGAGTTTTATAAATGAGAAAACGGAGGCATCAAGAAGTCCTGTGGCTCAATTAGGGTCACACAAAGCCAGGGTATCTGTTCCCTAGATCTAATCTCTCGTTGAAGCTCTTTCTTGTCGCTGATTGTTCACTAACCCTAGGCATCCAGGGAGGCACCACAGGCCCACAAAGCTGCCTCCCACCCCCATAGAGAGGAGGATGTGGCCCTGGGTGTCCATGCTCTGTACCCACACCGGCGGCTGTGTGGCCCTTGACTCTGTCACATATCTACCAGGAGCTCAAGAGCACCGACATGAAGTACCGGAACCGTGTGCGCAGCCGTATCAGCAACCTCAAGGACCCTAGGAACCCCGGGCTCAGGCGGAATGTGCTCAGCGGGGCCATCTCCTCCGGGCTCATCGCCAAGATGACAGCAGAGGTGAGGAGCGGCTGGGGCTGTGGTGTGGTGAGGCAAGAAGCCAGCCCTGGGCTCTGCCAGGTCTGAGAGGCAGTAGCTTATGACCCAGTGGGTCAGGGGACTTCTTCAATCAAAACCATCTCTGCACATGATGGGGTTTCTGGGCCGTCAGGATGGTGAAAGTGGCTGATTGATATGAACTGCTATGCGGTGTACTCTAAAGGATGTGAATCAGTTCCATCTCCACCCTAACTGAGATAGCACTGGACTTTTAACTTGTCAAGTCTACGTGGAACCTGGTCAATGGGTGAAATGTTTATTACGCCCATTTTTCAGATGAGATCATTGAGGCCCAGAGGGACAAACTGATTTGCCCATGAGCACAGCTACTCAGTATTGAAGCCAGTAGGCAACTGTCTGGTCCCACAGCACCTGCCCTTCACTGCTTTGTTATCTGTCTCTCTGTTGTCTAGTCCTGAATCCCGGTATGTACCTAGCTCTGGGCCAGAGCCAGGATAGGCATCCAAGGTTATAAATACGTACGGCAGACTATGGGGTGGTAGGTGCTGTGTTAGAGTCATCCTAGGAATTTGCAGGAGGAATTCACAGAGTCCATAAGGAAAGAAAAGGTGAGCAAAACTCTTGAGGAAGTGTAAAATAATCAGATGCTGGGGAGCTGTGCCAGCCTGCTGAGTCTGAATTCCACTTCTGCCACTTGGCTGTGTGGTCAGTTTTTCTATGTGTAGCATGAATATGAGGAGAATACATGCTATGGTGTAAAGAGTTAAAGGAGTTAGTGTTTGTAAGGTGTTTAGAAGGTTTACAGGAAGGGGCTGGGATTTAGCTCAGTGGCATAAGCAGAGCCTTGCAAGCAGGCAGTCTTGAGTTTGATCCCTGGTGCGGATAAAAATGAAAAAGACCAAAAAAAAAGAAGGTTTACAGGAAGCAGTGGCCTGGGGCTCCTTACACTTCAGGGTGGGGCCTCTGGTTAGAACTAGTACTTGCCAGGCTCCTGTGCCCGCTGCTCAGATCAGGAAACTGCAGCTGCATACAGCTAGTGACAGATCTCAGATCTGTTTATCACAGCCCACTTTAGCGTTTAGCATAGTTTCCGATGTGACAGCCAGAGCCATCTGGAGTTTCCCTGCAGGTGCTGTGAGATTGGAGACCTGACCAAGAGAGGGGGAGCAAAAATGTGTTGGGCTCCTAGGGCCTGAGCAGGCCTCTGAATGCCTGGGAGCCCTCCGAAGCCACTGGCAAGGAGTCATGAATGTGTGACACATGCATTGTGTGTGTGTGTGCTTCTTATGTATGTCCTGTGTGAGGTGTTACCTTTGTAGATATCTTTGGGTATGTTTAGTGTTTAGTGTGTGTATGTGGTGTGTAGTTACGTATGTGAATGATATATGATTGGGATACGTGTGGGTGTATGATTTTATATGTGTTGTAATGATACAGGTGTGTGGCATATGGTGAGGGTACTGTGCTGGTGCGTGGTTAGTGTGTATCTGTGCAGTGTGTAATGGTGTATGATTAGCATATGTGTGTATGTGTGCTGCAGAGAGGTGTGTGTGCGTCATAATATGAGCAGATACATTTTTTCTAAGAAGAGGTCTCACTGCTTTTGTCAAATACCTATAGCAACACAGAGCTCTGAGTTTAGGGTAAAATGGAAAACATGGCACAGGTACCTGGGTTATCTTTCTGCTTAGTTGAAAATATCTGATCTTTTTTGCAAACAGCAACAAATGCTTAGTTACTAAATTGCGACATGGCTGTACAAGGTCGTAATCAGCTGAGCCTTCTCTAGCAGAAATGCTCCGGGTAGGTGGGTTACAAATAGCAGACACTTATTCCTCACAGATCTTAAAGAGTTCAAGATCAAGGCTTTAGCAGATTCAGTGTCCAGGGAAGCCCTGTTCCTCACAGTCAGTCACACTCTTCTGTAACCCCATCGAGTGAGAGGAGAGAAGGGTTTGGGAGGGGTCTCTTTTATAAAGGTGCCAGTTCCAGAGTCCTCAGGACCTAGTTACTTCCCAAAGACCCCACCTCTAAACACACCAACGTGGGCATTAGTCTTCAATGAATATGAATATGAAGAAGACCATCATCTTTTGCCCCTGGTAGGAAATGTGTATAAGAAATATAGGGCAGCTGGGCATGGTGGCACATGCCTATAATCTCAGCACTCAGGAGGCTGAGGCAGGAGGATTGCTGTGAGTTCAGGGCTAGCCTGGGCTACATGATAAGTTCAAAGCCAGCCTGAACCATACTGTGAGCCTGTCTCAATAGATAGATATATAGATATACATATAGATATAGATATATAAATAGATCTCACAACCTGGAGGTGGCTCACAGCTGTAACATCAACTACTCGGGAGGCTGAAAGAGGAGACCTACAAGTTCACAAAGTGAACTTTGTGAGACTTAAGCACCAGACCAACATCTCTGTCTGATGCAGTGGCACTGGTGCCTTCTTAGAAGGATGGAGCCACCCAGGGCTCCTTAGGAACAACAAACTCTTAAGCAATTAGCATAGAGCTCTATCTTAGCCACCTGGGAATAATATTTCTTACATGTATCCTGATCATATTTTGGCACTTTGATTAAGGTAGTAGAGATACAAATCTCTTTTTGCATTGGAGAGGAGAGAGAGACAAAGCTTAAAAAGTAATTAGCTAAAATTTTTAAACAAGGAGGGCTCTAACCTGAGTCCCACATGTTCCCTAAAAGCAGAAGCTCTCATTCTCATCCACGAGGGTGACAGAGCTGAGCGGCCACGTGATGCACACAGCAGTCTTCATGCTCCTACACTGCAATCCACGTCCACTCACCACACTACACGAAGTCCAACTTTTTGTTAAGCCCCTTCGTTGCAGCTGCAAATTGTAAGAAACCAACAACTACATCAGAGAGACCTGGGGCAGCTTCTTGGAATCCTGTTATTCTATTTAACAGCCCTTCAGCTGTCCCTCCCCAAACCCCCAAAGCTGAAACCACGCGGCTGTCTTGGGACCCTCATGGTCAGATCTCTCCCCATTTGCCATTGTCTCCTCTCTGCACGCTCATGCTGGCCACCATGTCTCCGAAACAGATGATTCGACGTGCTCTTCCCAGAGTGGCGGGCAGACCTTGTGTTTGTGCAGCCCGAGACCAAGCAGTGCTGGGTTGCTGCATCACACTGGGATCAGCCGGGCTTGTAAACTAAGACCCTGGAGTATTTTTATTTTCTTTAAAACACTTGCATGCATTTTTTTTAACTCATAAAAGCAACAGGATTACATCAAACCTTTGGCCACGAGGGGAAAGCATTGCCCTGCTACAGCTGTTTAACATCAGTGTGAATTTCCCAGCCCACCTCCATTACTGCTTTATCTTGTTGTAAGCATGGGAAATATACATTTTGATGCTGGGTTTAATTAAAGGCCAACAAAGTCTTGTTATACTAATTTTCTATTGGATTTACTACTCACTGACCCAGTTATGGAGTTTTTGAAAGTGAGTAGTTATCCTTTATAAAAGAATATTTACTTGGGTCAAACAGTATAAATATACGTCAATGCTGTCCTTTAACTCCATATATAGTATCATTTCAGTGGACTTTTATATGTAAAATAACTATAGCCCTTCTATTTTAGTAAGTAAACAAATTAAATTTTAAAAATTGAAAATAGAGTACCTGAATTAAACACTTGCTTAAATATCTTTAACTTTCAGGCAAAATTTTGACTTCATTCCAGGTTTGTAAACATTGTATAACTCTTAGTCAAATAATTTTATGGTAGTGGTGATCTTTTCAGCTGTATTTCTAAGCAGTCAACATTTAACTGAGGTAGACCAGATGTTTCTAAATTCAGAATCTCACAGAATCTCCTGAATGTTTAGTATCAGTAGATGGTACTTAACAAACAAAACTTAAAAAAAAAAACAAAAACCTAATGCTGCTGGAATTTTTATTAAAGAGTCTCATAACCAGGAGTGGTGGCACATGCCTGTGATCCCAGAACTCAGGAGGCTGAAGCAGGAGGATCTCTGCAAGTTTAAACAGCCTGCGCTACTTAGCTACTTAGTAAGTTCAAGACCAATCCAAACTAAGACCCGGTTGGCCAAAAAAAGTACAAACGTCTACTTCTAAGACAACAGCTCCCCCTAATGGCCAAAAGAAGGGAAAATGGCAGAAAGTGGCAGAGCCATCGTGCCCCACACAGCAGGAAGCAGCAAGGGACAGGAGCAAAACCGAAGGATTCCCAGCACAGTGTGTCCTAGCAGGCAGACGGGAGACACCTGGCACAGCATGGCACCTGCGGGTCCATTGTGGACACAGACCACTGGACTACCAGCTCTGGTGGCGCGGCAGGGCTGTGGGTCACCATGCAACGGGCTCTGGCCATGGGGGTCGCTGCTCCACACTGACCATAGTAAGGGCAGTGGCACAGCTAAGGATCATGCTGTGGCTTGGGATCCTGCAGCCCTGCTGAAGGAGGGTCCAAGAGGGGCCATGAGGCAGGATCACAAAGCTGCAGGCACACGCACCATGGCCAGCAGATGCAGCTGGATATGAGACTAAGTACAAGCAAGCGGCGTGGGTGCCTAGGGCCAGGCTCGGGAGCCCGGGAGCCCCAGGGCTGGGGCTGGCCTCCCTGCTCCAAGCCCATGGTCCACTCACCTGCACTAGCTGTGCCAGCTGCACCTCTGAAGGCTGGCAGTTGTTGCCCTGCACAGGCAGGCAGCACAGGCACTAGGTGTGGCATGGTGGGGCACTACCCAGCTGGGCAGTTGGCCAGGTTCTTGGCAGCTTTAGCTTCCCAGCCTACCACTGCTGCCACAGGAAGTGCCCGACCAGCCTGACTGCATGGTGGTGGCTCCACAGGCTGAGGGCAAGCCTTAAAGGGGATGCCTTCCACCTTCTTTGAGGCAGGCTGTGGGGGATCCCTGGCCAGCATGTCAAAAGCATGTTCCCCTGTCCAGTTCTGGGCACAGGTGGAGGCAATCACTTGGCTGGGCTTCACAGCAGATCC